TATATATATATATTACAAAAAAATATGAATGCTTAATTTATGTATATTATTTAATTAGTTTAATACAGGTTTATTTGTTGTAGAAGTGCATGAAAGTGCATGAAGGGAAGTATAAGTACAGTTTAAAAGATGAACCACTATGCATGAAATTGTGTACTTCCGCCATATTGACGCAACATTTTAAAAATTATTTGCGATACTTTATAAAGCCAATTATTTTACCTGCATCGATACGGAGGTGCCGGTGATCGGCGTGCTTGGGGATGGAGTCTGCTCGACGTTAGTCATTGTGGCGCTTTCTCCTTCTCCTCCTCCTCCACCCTCCCCGGTAGGCTCCGTGGTACTCATTGCTGTAACATCATACATTATTAGATAGCCTTGAGAAATAATCTTTTTTTCTTTAGTAATTTTCTGCTATTTGTTAATCAATATATCCCTAGTTATATCCAAGGTTGCGCAGTTGATGATCAATCAGAAATTAACCCAAAATAGCTAATATAAAATCATTATTAGAAATTTATCCCAATAAAAAATTTATCCTAAAATTATATTCGACTGCCATTATGCGCAATGTTTTATCTTGATATATTTTTCTCATAAATATGTCATATATCATCAACGATCAATAATTAATCTTAGAAACCCTGTAATTATAACAAGGAATCTAGCACAGCCAATAATTTATCTTACAATTAGAAATTCTTTAATCAGAGTCTAATTATAACAAGAGGTCTGGCACCATTTCTCTTAAAATCGTGCGAGAGAAGATATGTTATATCTCACTCTGCAGCGATGCAAGAGAAAAAAAGATATATGTTATCTCACTCTGACTAACATGAATTGACGAAAAATGTCAAATCAATAAGTTATTATTTTATGTCCAAACTTTGATTTTAGATATCTCTATAATTGATCTTAAAAGAATTTATTTTTTAATCAATTTGAACAGATATGGTAATTTTGATTGAACCGGTGAACACGCGATAAGGAAAATAATAGTTACAGATAATCTGGTTATCGACAGCCTGCTGATCGCTTGATAGGTGAGAAGTTATTTCACCATTAGATTGTAGCTACTTTCTCATTTAAATCTAATCGGCCTTTTAAGCGCCGCCACTTAATCTTCTTTTCACGACGGCTATTCAATCACTGACGCGATATATTCAGCTTTTAAATCTTAAATAGCCAAGATCATAACACTTAGAGTAAACGAAAAGAAAATTACGTTATTACGGTGAATCTCGCGCGAAAGAAAATATAAAATAAAAAATTATTCTAATATCTTCGTGAGATTTAAATTTTCATATCCCGTTAGGGCAAAGCTCCGGCTTAACGTTATCATGGATACCACTATTCTTTATTAGTGTAGATACTATACTACACGCTACACGCATGCTGCTAATTGCAATATCCAACGCGGTCAGTCGAGACGAAGAAACGAAAGCTTCAGCCGGTCGATTCGTGTTCCACTATTGCTCTGATTATTCGTTAAATCTTTTGCCGCGCCATCGTCTGTCTAACAAATGGCTCCATACACTCATATGGATGCTCCATCTGCAATGCGTACGAAAGATGAGAGATGAAATGGAGTCGGAGCCGAAATAGAAGTGGCAAGGGTCGAGGAGAAGCTTAATGCCAAGAGGGTTGGCGGTACACAAAGTGTACCGCTCTGCCTCCCGCCTCACTCCTATTCCTTATATCGAAATGCGGCCGTAATTCCTTCTCCATACAAACTGCATAGTCTCGATATTACCCTTTAATACTCGCTTTATGGTCGACGAACGTATGCACTGGGGAAACTTTATGATGGACGATCAAACGTTGAAAATCCTCGGCAAACTTCTCCAATCGCGGTAACACATACAGAATTCATTAACAATCCTAACCATTTCATAAATCTGCGACTACAAATTTGAGAAGGAGATACCGATTCCACTTCAGTCAATTCCAACGATGTTTATTGTTAATACAAACTTTTGAATAATTCTCAAGAATAGTTCGTGGAGTTTATTTCTCAATGAGATTCAAGTATTCGTAAGTCTATTCTTCTAACATCTACAACAATTCTCATAGCAATATATCGTATCTAGATTCGGAGATATGTATATATATACGTACGAGAATTCAAATGGAAATCAAATATTACTAGCCGGTCGCCAAATCGAAGATCTCAAGGCGAAGGCTGCACACGGGTGGCCCTGCGCACTTTTCTGCAGTTAAGCCGAACGTCGATGAGCTTCCCGTCGAAACCCTACGAGAGACCGAGCTTTTTCCGTAGAAAGGGAAATCAGTTTTCCGGGAAGGGGAAGTCTGGGAAGCCTCATATATTCACTGTGGAATTTGCAGGTCCACGGAATTTCCAATATTTTACGATCGCAGAAGAATGTCGGGAAACGATCCAACGAGGAGATTGCTGCCTCCTCGACGAGTCGGCGCCGTAGTCGTACCGCACGCACGCACGTCGACGAAGCCGGTATTGCGCAGGAATTACACAAGCCCTCCGTATAACGTTATTACATCCTAACGGACTTAATGCGCAGGACGGGCACAATGCCGGGTGCTCCGCATAGTCCTTAGATCATTGATCCAAATTCGACTGGAGTCAAGACGAGGGGAACAACCGAAAGTCTTACGTGGCCGAATCACGATCGATCCATGCGAAATGTACTGTGGTCATGAAGGGATGATGCCGATACCTTCTGTTAGACATCAGGATAGATAGCACTGTTCGATAAAGTTTTTCTGTTCGTTTGCTTTTAAAAGAGTATGCTTTTATCGAGAAGATATCGAGTTACAAGTTATTCCAATACCAGAAGTAATGAAGATGACCGGCGAACGAGAATTGATTGCATCCCGGTGAAACTTTCAGGACGAAACCACCCCACCACGCACCGTGCACTGCAGTACAACCCCTTAGTAACAGATCACCCCCTCTCGCGAGACATCCAGCAATAGTGGTGACGGCGGTAGTGGCGGCGGGTGGTGTGCCGACCGATAAAATCCATACGTCATATAGCAGGCGAGGAAATCGTCAGCAGAAATTTCGTCAGGGTTGCATACGCCTTAACCGTCCGTCTGTCCGTCCGTCCGTCGTTACTATCGTGACCCGGTTAAATGGTAGGTCGCCGACACGGCGACGGATAGCGAATTTCGATCGGTTCGAGTCTATCAAGCTCTCGGCCTTTCTATATAGTAGCGTACTCACCTGGTTACTCGTTACACTCCCCCAGCAATATTCCTGTGTACCACGAGCCGAGATAGCCTCGAATGAATCGAATTCCAAGTTCCGGAAGTATTCTGGAGAGCTGTTACCACTGCGGTAATAGGCGAACGACGTCCGTGACTAACGGGATGTCCTTCGAAGGAAAAGGATGCCGCGCGTTGGAGACTGTCCGTCTCCAAGTTGTCAATCCCTTCGTCTGCTTTCTCGAGGCCCAATGGGAGATGGAGCGGCACACCTCTCTTGCTCCTTTCGCGCACCGCGAAAAGTACTGTACCAGACGCAGAGATCGGAACGATTGAGAATGGGTGAGATTAAAGCGAGGGGAGGGGGGAGGGGGGAAGCAACGTAGAGAAAAGTAATAGACAAGGAAAGAAGATAGAAAAGAAATAGGAAAGGTAAGAGAGAGACAGATAGAACAGAAAAAAAAGAGCGAATGATAGAACTCGTATGAAGCACAGTGACGTACGTTATACGTGTCTCTATGTATCGAAGTACAGCGGTGCTACAACACCGGGCGTCCCGAAGACGACGGGGGTTGCGAGCGGACGGGCGAGAGACCGAACGAGAGAGAGGAGGGTCCGAGAGATAGAGAACTACACGGAGACCGGCGTAGAGAGATCAACGGATGGCCTTCGATGGCGAACGACGTTTCGTTGTCCAATACGGAAGCCTCTCCGTCGAGTGCACGTCGGAAACGTACGGACGCGAAATCCTCCTCTCCTCGACGGGCCCTGTCCCCTGCTGTCGACGGCGGCGAGAGCGAGGGCGACGGCGACGACGAAGGTGACGGCGACGATTTTCACAGTGCTTGTTGCGGCCTCTCGATTATCAAAGCTCGGCAGCAACACTCGCGTTGCGGGCTGCCGGCTCTCTGACGGGAGAACTCGCGGCGCTGCGGCCCCCTGCGTCGGTGGCGGCGGTGACGGCGGCGTTGGCGGTGGAAAACCCTCCTACCCCCCCTGTCGCGACGCACCTATCAACATCCCCACTAGTCGTGCGGCGCGATTGGTCGTCCGCGCAGCCGGGCCTACTATCGCCACCGTCGTCGCGCCGGTCTATACACCGTCAGGGACGATCACCACGTATAGAACGCTTCTGGGTATATTGTACGTGACCGGAGTTTGTCTGGGTGTCGCGTGAACCGAGTGGCAAAGGCTGTTGCGGGGAGGTCTGAGAGGAAAGGCGACTATCAGACTAGCCGGCAGGAACCGGCGAAATGACAATTAGATATAACGGAAGTGACGTAACGACCGTCAGATCAAAGAATTCCCGAAGCGATCATAAAGGTGGGCTTCTCTCCTTCGATGGCGGTCGCTAAGTTATAAGAGCAGAGATAATGAGGATCAAGACTTACATGCACTTTGTACTCGCATAGAATCGGTAGACTCACGCGTTGGGGATGACGGTAAAGATCAATCGACAAACGGGCGTGCCCGGGATTGTAATATTCGCGGATATTGTAACGCCTTGGAAATTGGCTTAACGTAATGGTAATGGAGTCAGGAACATGTGATAGATAGAGGCAATTAGCGGTCTTCGTTTTGGTTCCATTCCTATGATTAGAATGCGGCCGAAAATTATCCCGCGATTATCCTCCACAGATTTCGTGAAAGGTTCAAATTCGGACAAATTGAAATTACTATGTCTAATAGCGAATATTTATATTCTTAAATGCGATTCTGTTAGTCGGTAACTTGCAAATTGGCTGAAATGATCTCGTTGAATGGTCAGACTGAATGACCTTGCTGGATTATGAAAGACGGCATCCAACAGAACGAATGCAATTATGACAAGTGGAGAGACCGGGTGATGCATTACTCCAATAGATTACCGAACAAAAATAGGTTTTTGCCTTTGGCCATTTTGTTTCCGTAAAACTAGTAATTCATCAATCAACTTGGCATCCTTTACAAGCTGTACAACAAGAGGAACATGAAGTACAACTAAATGCAACATAATAGCGAAAAATATAAATGTCTATTTTAAAAGATAAAATATAAGCTGAACAATTTGTTCTTAAAATCTCATTGTTTATGCGATTATCGAGGAATATTATAGATAAATAATTATATATATCTAATATAAATAACTCATACGTGATAAATTGATATGTTTAATCATTATTTTTAAATGACAATTTTGGCCAATGTTTTTTTCTAATATTTATCGCAATCATTATCAATGATTCAAGTCAACAATTTTATGAGACACTTACGACTATATAACTGACTTATTTTTGCTCATTCGCTGGTTAGAAGTCACGAATTTTATCGGTTCTGAAAGAAATATCTCTCCACATGGATGACAGGTTCACGTCATTTGGGCTTAGCACATCACACACTCGAGCTCAATACACTTTCATACATTAACACATCATATAGATGGATAAATAGATAAAACGTTTATTGTATCGTTCTAAGGCGAGCTCTTTAAGAACATATAAATAATCATAATATAAAGAACAAAGAAAATAATTTACAGAAAGAAGTAATGTACAAACGAAAGAAGAAAATAATATAAAAGCAAAGAAAAAAAATACGCAACAAAGAAAATGAAATATGAAAAAATAATTTAAAAAATAAAGAGGAATTAAATAAAATATAAAACGATAAAAAAGTAAACAAAAAAAATTCATATGTAGATTCTTTTACATGTTTTTTTAAATAATTCTATAAACATTTTAGATAAAATATAGAAATAACAGACAACTAGGTTAAAAAGAATAAAAACAAGACCAATAAGTGTCATATCGTATTTTATTAAAACAAGAGTTAAGTTAGAATTTATTTGCATTTATAAAATCGCTCTCTCTCTCTCTCTCTCTCTCTCTCTCTCTCTCTCTCACACACACACTCACAATCAGATAAAAATGTAGAAAGTCGATATTCTTTGTGTTATGTGCCGGGAGACAAAATGGTGACATGTCGGAAAAGTATAGGATTGGCGGAAAGGTGAGTTTGGGATTGCCATTCTTGTATCTGAAGAATTTCCTTCCGACTTGATTCCGTACGACAGCTAGAATAATAGTATCTGGAAGCTGCTGTAGGGGCGAAACTTCGAAAAGCGGATTCGCTAGTTCCACTTTTCACGAGCGAGACTCACACCGCTCTAAAATCAGATAGGAATTCGGTGCAAAAAAGAAAAGTATCGCTTCTCAAACTTTCGTTCGTTTCTCTCACGTTACAATATTAAATTTAAAAATTATTTAAAAATTATTGCCTTCACGTTCATACCTCATTCGCACCTTTCCTAATCTCCTTTCATCTAACGAGTGTCGCGTGTCCCGAATTCTAGATTTTACTTCGTTTCTCGATAAATACCATTCAGGTAATACGCCTAAGTGTGTCAATATAAGTCGAAACGGGTCGACGTAGATGAACGATGAGTTAAAACTGACTCGTAACATACGATAATTAATTACACGTTGGCGTTAGTTGACTAATGGAAGATTTCGCGGTACACCGAATTCGCTAAATGACAAATATTGAAGGTGCAACATCGACAGATCCATGATTCCACGTGCCGATATCGATTTTGGAAGAACACAGAAGCAAGTTTTTGTCTGATACAAATTTAATACCCCGATCCTAATGGCGCACGATTGTTTATGCGAACAGGTCGACGATCATGGGTGCGCAGAAATGACGGTAAGTTAAATATCAAGGGACGATTCGATAACGGTACAAGAACGTGAGATATAAGTCTGTTATAAGAAGCGATTTATCGCAGTCATGCTCATTTGTCGCATTGCAGTGAGGAAACGTACATTGTGCAATTCTTCGAGATTTGTCGGGCTCTCTAAAGGCGTCCTGACGGAATCTCTTAATGAACAGGCACGCACGTCAACTTCAACACTTTGAAAAGCGCCCAACTATGTGATAAAACAAAAACATCATCGCTTTACTATTCGTAAAAATATAATACCGCAATGTTGCCCGTAATAACACGTTAGCAACTAAATAATTTTACATGCTGAGAGTATTTTTCTCTTCCTCTCTATTTAATTTATTTTAAAGTTAGTTAATTCTCGTTAGTTAATTTAAGTTCTTCTTTCTCAAATAGTTGCTAACATTATTAACTGTTTTCTCTCAACGTTTTCATAATGTATTTTCAATTTTATGCAATTTTCGTAAAAGGATTTCTTTTGTTTGATCTCTACGCTCACAAGAGCAAGATAATTTATAATTTACTAACTAAAAATTTTTTTCGACGTAACATGCGAGCAAAACTGAATGTCTAAGTGCCTCACAGAATCTTTCGAGTAGTTTTGCAGGGACGTAAACGTAACTATGATACCAATGCATCTATTCATTTAGATATGTTCATAATACTTTCCAAACGCAACCGAAACATCGTCTTTCGCACGGTTTGTCAAAGATATTCTAAATGTAACATCCGAACGAGATGAAGCTATTGTGTATAATTGACTGTAATAGCTCTTCAATCATCTGTGGCGTTATATTCTTCCTCAACGTAATTCTCGCGTACGAAACCGCAATGATGTTTGATTTAAAGTTACACGGTATCGTGACTGCGTGAGATTACATAATCATGGAAATTAAAAATGAGAGATTCAAAATAGAAATAAAGTAACATATACTAGAGTGATTAAAAAATATATGTAAAGGCTAATATTCATAGTCTGTTTTAAAACCTTAAGTAATGTCTTAAAAAATGTTAATTTGATTCTCTGATTGATATTCATGATATGATGTTCATGATATGTTAAGATTGTACTTAAGACAGTCTTAAATGTAAGAATCGACTACAAATACCTCGTATGATCGACTTTTTACTAAAAAAAAAAGACGTTATTAAAGAACAACAATCGATGGAAAATTTATATATTAAAAAATACAGAGACAATCCGTATCTTCCGATACGCCCGCACTTATTGGGAAACTCGTTGGCGCTGCCTCTTACTTATAACGCAAAGACGAAGTTAAATTTATGCTTTTCGAGAATGGTCGTTCTTAAAATCATCCATTAAACTTCTCTTTAGCATTTAAGTTTCAAGTGATGTGCGCGATGCTCATAGCTGCTTGAGTACGTGTCTCGCTTTTAAAAGGGATTGATACATTTTTTATCAAGTCGTATACGATCGGTAGCGAGTTTTTACTCTGTGCTATAGATAGAGAACTACGGCAGATATGCTTTTAATCTTTTTCTCAGAAATATGATTTGATAAGTCGTGTATTATTTGCGTGAGATCGAGAATGTGAATTAGATTAAGAACGCGAACAAGCTCTCAAATTAGTTTTCAAATTTGGAGATGCATTAAGCGTAATTATACTTTAATAAGATCCCTTTCAAGGGATGATGTATTTACGTAATCTATGCACGCATTGCGGAAGTTTCCTAGCTCTTCGAAGTTTGTCGAGGTGAAATTGAAGACAGAGTCGAGATTCTTCAAAGGAGAATCTGCAACACGGTATCTGTTCATCATTTTATTATAATAATTTTATAATATAATTTTTATAATATAATTTATTCGTTGACATAATTCCTTAAAATTACATTCTCTCGCTTTAAAAAATTACGAATTAAAGATTAAATATCTAACGATTTTTCTTTGATTATCTATTAAGCTATGAACGATATTTGGACCTGGAGGCAATA